ATTATTCTTTTTATTCATCAATAATTTACTTGATTTTTGATTCATTATATATTTAATGACACGATATTTGTCTGAGACAAAAATAGGCATTGGATTGTATGATTTTTTCTCGAAAATAAGGTTTAAATATTTTTATAATTTATATAAAGGACCAATTTTTTTATCGTATATCAATAAACAATAAATCAGTTATATAAGAAAATTTTATTTTTTGCATTCAAAAAAAGTTTAGTTTACATTTATCACCATTCAAACTAAAAATATGATTAGCTCCTTTGATAATTTTATAATATTTCAGGGCCTAAATTTAAACATTTTGTAAGATTTTAATATAACGCATATACATTCAATATATTTTATTTTTGTTAAATGATATAATAACGTTCATTAAGTATTTATGTTTAATGATTTTTACTATTCACAGATACGCAGCTTTTATTATCAATTATGACTATCGGCAATATGCTTCTTGCTTTTTCAGTATATGTATTTATAAATGTTACTCACAACTTTATGGCTTATATCAAAGTACCGTACTCTAAGCATATCTGTTTATAAAGTAATAATTTATAATAAACTCTGCGTATTTATGAATAGCGTCGCAAAATTCAGAATAAACAATACCACATAATAGTTTTTCTTCTTTTTATGAAAATTGAACATAATGCGTTAGAACACACACACTTTGTCATGGGCGCAAATAATGTTTTTAATTTGGTGGTACTTACAGGCCAAAATCTTTATTTCCTTCCCATCCAAATATTGCACTCAACTATATTTTTATACAGTCAAAGTAAACAATATTATTACACACTACATTCATTTTTTTCTTACAACTCTGTTATTTTAACATAACCATTGAAACCAAAACAAATTATTATGGTAACAGGAAAATACACATTCTACACCAACGACAATGTACACACGTATAGTATTACATAACAAAACTTTAAAAAAAAGTAATTATCTTTATTATACACTTATATTATATAATGTACAATATATAAACTAAAATTTTTATATAAGAAGGTTATAAATATGTAAGGATATAATATAATTTCATATAAGAAATTACTCAATATTTTCTTACAAGATTTCAAAAGAATGACGAAATCTACTTGGGGGTACTAAAGACTTCCCCGAAGGCGCTAATTAACCATAGCACCCCATTTGTACCAATGCACGTCATTTATACAGGTGATAATCACATTACAATTATAATTAAGCTTATCCGTGACTTATACAATTATTTGATATTGTCAAAAATACTTGATACTTTAAGAATAATAATATCATGTTAATAGTGAGGGATTTTTGACGGTATTTGTATAAATCAACAGTTGTTATTCTGTAGGCACTCCTATTTAAAAGTACTGTCAAGTATTTGATTAATTGTTATTTCCACTACACGTTTAAAATTTTAAATAAAAATAATTTTTAATTCTAAATTATAAAATAATTGCTGCTTTTATAACTGATATTTATAAATTTTAATATCTAATATCAAAAGATATTTAACCCTTAAATTCATATGGTTGTATTCGTTCAATTTCCAATATGTCATAAGTAAGAAAATTTTAGGAGTAAAATTCTATGAATTAACTCATTATATTAATAGTTAGTGTTTTGAATAAATTTTAGATTATAATAATATAGATAAAATAATAATATTAGAAATACAAGGTATTGGCTAAAATAGAATTTAGATGTCGTCATTCAAACAGAACAATTAGTTTTAGTAATTTTGGTAACTTGATAATAGAAGGTATAATTTTTTCAACACGAAATAAATAGAAGTGACTTAATAAATATGAAGACTAACAGATTTTATTTTTTTAGAATTTAAATGAGATATATAAGCAATTAATCATGAAATAAAAAAATTGTATTTGTGCAATTATACGTGTTTCGAGTTCTAATTTAAAATGCCTATTTATTTCATTTTGTTGCTTGCGTGTAAATTATGAAAATGAAAAAAATTTAAAACAAGAAAAAATTCTTTTTATTTTTAAAATGGGCGATTTTTATTTTTAATTCCTTTAATCACTTAAAATATATTAATGTTGTTACGAAATTAAGGCTGCCCAGAAATGAAGAGCACAATAATATTTAATATCTTTGAGTCTTCTAATTGTTAAATAAAATTTCAAAAAATATATGTTATTTAAATTTTATGAAAATGTTTGGGTAAAAATGAAATAAATAAGACTTTTTATGGGTAAAATATTAATAAATCATTTAAAAATAATGTTCAAAATTTAGGTCATAGAGACAAAATATTTACTTGTACTGATGTAAATTCCATATAAGAAAATATCGACCTAAAGCATAAAAAAAATTCCTCCATACAAAAAATGTTAGTGAAAGTAAAAAAAAATAGCTTTTTTAGCCTTGAGATGGTAAACAATAGTCATTGACCACTGACGGCGAAAATATTATTTTATATTCTTCGATCGTTTTCATTGATGTATAACAAGTCGACTACCAATATATTGGTATATGCTACTGTTGTATTTATATATGTAGAAAAATCTTTTGTTCTAACTTATATTTTTAGTAGTTCAATAATAACGCAAAATGTAGTTAATAAAGATATAATCAATCAAAATAAAAACATGTAAAATATTGATACACTTAAAATCGGATAAATAAATAATACACAAAATAAAAACTTTAAGTCACAAACGTACCACACGGAAAGAGATTACCATCGGTACTCCCGAGGTCTTCTCTTCCTCTCTTTTAATTCATTCCGTTTCATCTTATATATTAAAATATTTTGTTTGTCTTTTATAAAATTCATATAGTAATCATTTTCAAAAAGGTTTATAAATATTTACTTCCTGATCTAGTAACAATAATTCTGGGAATTACAATTAATCTAAACATTACATAAGTGTTCTACTTCTAGGTTTACAAATAATAGACTATATTATATTTTTGTAATAATAGATTAAGAAATTCATAGTTAAACCAAACATTACAAAAATGCTTTCTTTTCAGTTTTATAAAATAATGACCTATATTACACTCCCCTATGTTGAAGTAAAAAATATGCCCTCATATTTTAATTTAGTAAATTTCCATAATAAAAGATAAAAAGGAGGGAAAGAGAAAAAAAAAATTGGAAATTTGTGTAGTGAAAGTTAAATATATCTTTAAGACAGTGAACTGAACTCTTTTTTTTTTTNAAATTTGTGTAGTGAAAGTTAAATATATCTTTAAGACAGTGAACTGAATTCTTTTTTTTTTTTTTAATGTATTTACATTTAATAGAGTATCTTATTTGTCATTCATAAACACGTTCACTTCTTTACATGTTATTTTATTATTAATATTCATGTATATCGATTATTTGTAATCGATTTATTTTTAACTCTTTTTTTATATAGAGGATAGGAAATTATTGGACTGATTTATGAAAATTTACTTTTTGTTTAATTACTATCATTATAATAATAATTTGAAATTCAACGTTATTTTATTATTATTGTTATGTGTATGCAAGTATATATTTTTCTAAATTAATCTGAAAAGGGTACAGGATTAAGTCAAAGATACAATAATATTAAAAATATTTAGCAGTTTAATTTTGATAAATGAAGTGTAGAGTTGGCTTTATGACATCCATTTTATTATTATTCTTTCCTTGTATGGTTTCCATTTCCGCTTAGTCGAGTCTCTTTCCAATCGGGGTTTTTTTTTTACTGGAAGATGGAATACTCTATTATTTGGTTTGCCATCTTTGGAGCCGTCTTCATTAAATGGTTTTTCGCTTTGTGTAGGTTTTTATACTATTAATTTGTGGTTAGTTAATTAGTGTATTAATAGAATTGTAAATATTTAAAATATAAAGGAAAAGATAAAGGAAAAGAAAAAAATAAAATAAAATAAAATATAAATATAAATCGGTAGAAAGAAATTATGTTTGATAATTAAGAGGTGGTAGACCCATTACATTTACTTTAATAAAAATTGGGTAAATTTTATATATTGAGAAAGCCATGACCAAAGTTAGTAACGAGAGCCAAGAGATATAAATGATATCTGTTCACTTAATTTTTTAATCTCACGTTTGCAAGATAAATCTCTTTCCTCTAATTGTCTTTTTAAATCTTTAATCTCCTCATCTCTAGCTTTAGAGTGTTTATCTAATTGGGTCACCTGTTGATTTAAAATGTCAGTATAATCACTAAAAGATGGTCCTCTGTTATTTATTCTGAATTGCATAAGTTCGAATTTTTTAAAATTATCTTTTAATTTTTTTAAATCAGAATTATCGTGTAAAGAAATAGCGTGTAAAACAGATTCTTTAAGACCCCTTAAAATGTAGGTACAGATTTGATCTTCAGACATGTTTTTATCTACCTTTCTACACAGATTTTCTACTTCCGTTACAAAACTCATTACCGACTCTAAGTCATTTTGTCGCCTATTTTCAAGTTTATTTTTTAATAATGTCACATACCCTATTGGTTGAAATTCCTCAATAAATGACCTATATTACACTACCTTAACAAATTTTCATACACTATTCGATATACTACTAAAACTGTGCAGAGTATACCTGTGGATGAACTGGTTTCCCTCTTTAATCGGTTCAATGTACTCTCTATTTATTTTATATTCAGTAGCATTATCATGCAAGACGCAGCCCTCTATTGGTATCTGAGCAGAACTTCCCTATTTTTAGCAAATACTAGAAGATAATTGCCATTTAAGAAATTTCAAACACATGAATTTATTTTAAAGTCATAAATTATCTTAAAATCAGGGACTAAAATCATTAAATATTTTAGAGGCTTTGATTTAAGAACTAGGTTTTGATTACGTTTATAGATTTTTTTGTTGATCAGAATCAATTAAGAAAAATGATTTATATATTAAAGGTTAGTAACCTTTAATGTATAAATTAACCTTAGTAATTATTTATAGAATGGTTATGGAACATTTATAAAACTTTAAGATGCGTTCAAGAATTTTATGTAGAGTTTTGTAAAATTTCATAAAATATATTTTAATTTTTATGGAATTTTATTCATAAATTATAATAGTGTTGTATCCATAAAACTGGCTTTAGTATCCAGTATAGTTTCGTTTTCAAACTCGATTTTAAAATCTTTACTTTTATCAAAACTATAAAAGTAAACAATTATTGTTTCAAACAATTTTCATATTAATCTAATGAATTATAAAAATATGTTTTATTAGATATGACAATGCACGCGTAAAAAGTGCGCACGATTCCCGCAAGTCAGTAATATCCCAAATTAGTTTTAAAAAAATGTTTTATTATAATTTTGACAATTAACCATACTAATCAAGTATATTTATATTAAGAATAACAAAATTATGTTAGTATGGTATCGTATGTTAGTGTGATCCTTAATTTTCAATATTAGATTTTTATCAGTCATTATTATTTATTTCAATATCTCTATTGTATAATTTAAAAACAAACTGTTTACCAGCGGAAATATAACTTAATTATTCAATAAATATAGTAAATACTAGTTAAAAAAATTGAATCAAAAATATGGAGTAAATTATGAACTCTTTAAAGTTTAAAATAGTTTTTAGCTTCAATGCGAAGCTGAGAAGATATTGGTTTTACTAAGATGTGTTTTTTTTTTTTTGTGTCTGTTACCACTTTTTCTCAGCTATCACCAAACTGATTTCTTTCAATGATACGTCAAAAGATCACAAATTTTATCTAATCGAAGAAATTACCCTCAAAAATTTAAAAAATTTCCCCCTTTCACCGTAAATGGAGTAACCTCCAAAACAATTACAAATTAAAAAATCGTTAATTTTCGAAATTTGTTCGGTCGTGATGAAACAGTTTGGTAGTTTTCATCTCTTCAACAAGAGCGCGACATGTCACAACTGGTTTATCTGTTGGGGTAGTGTGTAACAGTGGTCGTGAAGGATTCATTCGTGCTCAATTAGTCGGCCGTTTCGGTTATATCGACGCCAGGTATTTTTGGGTCGAGTATTGCCTTGTCGCCACAATGTTCAATTTGAGTTGCTCAACGGCTTGTTATATGTTACGGTGTTTTTTTGTTGTTGCCTTCCCTGCATCTGAAGTGTCACAATGTTCATCACCTTCAAACGGCAGTGGGTAATTACTAAGAATTTTTTATTGTTTATTTAACGGATTTACAGTCCACATAAGATATGTATTAGTTATAAAAAGGGGATATATGTTATTTATTTTATTAGTAATTTGTGCTAATTTCATGTATTATTGGCTCTTGTTGTTTGTTATTTTTTTTATAATAACTGAAAATATCATATTGTGATTATTGTATATGTCGTTTTTCTTTCTATCTAGCATATTGTAAGGCTCAATTTCCACATTTTTATATTCTCCTTTCCTTCCGCTAAGGCATGGCCAAAATACGTATGTATGGTCAATCGTATGTATTAAACAAACTAAAAATTACAAAACCGCAAATTGCCGATACTAAAAAAAATATAGCCGGCATTGCACAAAATTTTTTCAATTTTTTTTACTTAAAATTGGCATAACTTTTTTAAAAATAACCAAATCAATATAATTTTTTTATATATACAGAGTGATTTTTTTATCATAACCCACTCAATTACTTGCAGAATAATAATAATTTAAACATTTTTTTTTTTATTATTTTTAGTTACACATTATTCTTGAATTTTTAACTATGTAATACTTTTTAAGTTCATCCCTTATGCCTTGGAGGGGGGTCAACTTTGTTTTTT